CAGTTTTTCATCTGTCTTTTGAACCCAACAATCTCATCCTTGCATGGACCTGTAATGATTAGATCATCAACGTATACACCAACTATTAAAGGTCCATTCTTTGTGGTTCGCTTGTATACTGCATGTTCACGTGGACAACGCTCGAAGCCAAGTTGTTGTAGAGTTGCATTTAGCTTTGAATTCCAGGCTCTTGGGGCTTGCTTCAGGCCATATAAAGCTTTTACCAGTTTGTACACGAGATGTTCCTTTCCTGGCTTCTCGAACCCCTCGGGTTGTGATACATATACATCCTCCTTTAAGTCTCCATGAAGGAAAGCCGTCTTCACATCAAGGTGGTGAACTTCCCAACCATCTCGTGCAGCTAGAGATAGAAGCAAACGGACTGTTTCCATTCGAGCAACTGGAGCAAACACCTCATCGTAGTCAATACCATGTTTTTGGACATACCCCTTCGCAACGAGTCTCGCTTTATAGCGAATTATATTGTCTGTGGCATCCCTTTTGGCTTTATAAACCCACTTCAGACCAATCGGTTTAACTCCTTTCGGGAGTTCAACCAATTTCCAGGTTCCATTTCGTTCAATAGAATCCAATTCGTCTTGCATTGCATCATTCCATTCTTTGCTATCTTTGGCTTCATTAAAAGTACTTGGTTCTTCATTGGATAGTAATAGTTCTGCGTCATCAAAGTGAGGTGGATTGAAAGCCTTCTCTTGTATCGATTGAGTTCTTGAATATACATCATTTAGGTGGCGAAATCCTCGAGGGGGTGTATCATCGTAATGTGAACTTGAAATAGGACTTGCACCTGATGTACTAAGATTTTCAAACTCAAGCGGGCTGTTTGGAACATTTAGTGGGCTGATAACAGTGCTTGGAACCGAGGCAGGCGACTTTGGGCTAGACAACGAACAATTCTCTGGTGTGCTAACAGATTCACACCCATTCTGTACGATTGGAGCAGCCTGGCCTTCGGTGGGAATGGGGGAGGTATTGAGTGGGCTGCCACCATTTTGAGTCAATCCTTAACCAGTCACCCAAGCTTCATTTTCAACTACAAATTCAACATGACTTTCATTTCCCTCTGTCTCCAAATCTTTAGCCCAGTCCCACGCTCTGTTTTCTTCAAATTGGACATCCCTGCTAACACATAACCTTTTTGTCTTTGGGTTGTAAAGTCGATATGCTTTGCTTCCTGGTTCACTCCCGAGATGTACCATTGCCTCGCTCCTGTCTGACAGCTTTGTTAATTTGGGTGTTGGTACTTTGACATGCGCCATACATCCAAACACCTTTAGGTGTTCCAAATTGGGCTTCCGTCCTTTTAGGGCTTCATATGGGGTCTTCTTTTCTAAAGCTTTTGTCGGGGTTCGGTTCAAGATGTAGACAGCATGTCGTACACCTTCTCCCCACAACCATTGCGGTATATTCATGGCCTTCAACATAGATCTTGTGGTTCCAAGAACAGTTTGGTTTCGGCGTTCAACCACACCATTCTGTTGTGGCGTATATGGTGCGGTTAAATACCTATTT